CTAAAAACTTCATTTGCATGTCATCACTATACAATTATGGTATGCGTATGCCTCTCTATCACACTAACCAATCAAGAGTCACTAAACACCAGTTGGTGTTGGACTTTCTGGGTTGTGTATTGTAAAATGTATGTTTGCTTTACAACAACTTCACAGGCTATTCTGCAACTCAAGTTGTTGTTTTTTGCCCCAGACCGCTTGCTTACTGCGTTTACACCGCGGGGCGGGAAGATTATGTAGTGACGATAAACTGCGTGCGACTGCTCCTCCTAGTCTGCGCATTTGTTTTGAGTTTTGAGTGCGTTTTGAGTTTTGTATGAGATTCAAGCTGTGCTGGTTTTGTGTGCGATTGGTTTACTAACGAGGTAATTAACAAAACGACAGAAATGAGACAAGCACCCAAAGCGTATTAAGAAAGCTTGTAATGCTAGATATAAAAGTAGACGCTCGTTATCAGCGGAAATTAACCGCGAGATGGATGGGACGAACGCGCGCCATCGGGCAGAAAGTGGTAAGGACCAATCAGCATGTTCAGCGCACAAGTCCCACCCCGAAAGTTCCCTAACTCTGAAAAAGTACTACCTCGCCAGCAGGGACTTTTGGTTACGCTTCCTTTTACAGAACAGGACTTATAGTGTACTTACCTAGAAAGTACTGGCTAATAAAAGGTAAGTACATGGAACAGGGGTAGGTTTAGGGGTAGGTTCAGGGTTAGTACTAGTTATTACCCAGTAGTAATTGTAGTTTTCTAACATAATAGTATTTACATGGGTAACTGGACTGTAAAAGGAAGCATTACCGGACTTTCTGGGGGGAATTTATACCCGGAAATTCATTTAGACCCTGGTTCCTGCGGTGTAAACACACCGAGTACCACCCCAAAGTTCCTAGTTCCTGGGGAAAGTTCCTGTGGTGGAAACGTGGCTATTTACATATAGACTGAAATCTAGATTTAAAAACCTTGTAGAAGAAAAAACATTGAGATCAAGGTGTCACCCATTGACCCACCTGAATTAAAAAAAACCTTACCTAAATGCATGTATCTGAAAAAACATGGCGTTTTAGAAACAAAAGGACAGCAGAAAATTGCTGCGACCACAAACAAAACTACCCCACACCATCTGACAAATAACTGTGAGAACATTTATCACGTCTATAACGGGATGTATGGCCTGGTTTTGACATGCCACATAACAGCTGACCAGCAAAAGATAAAAGCCACTCTTTGCACTCCTGATCTGCAATTACCAAAACCGTAGAGCCTCAAAATGCTCATTCCACCTCCCCCCATTACGGAAAAACAAGGCTTGCAGATCAGCCCAAAGTTGGTACCAACTGACCTGTTAAAAACAAGCCAGGCTTCAGATCAAAATTTGGCTACAAGCATGTCTTCAGGAAAGCAGAATTGTACCAACTACAAAAAATTTGAGATATATCAAAATTATTTTTGTTTGACCATTTTCAGTTGGCTTCTTAGTGTCTCATAACCAAGGCCTATAGTGTAAAAGAAGAAAGTAATTTGTTTTATTTAAACAGACAATGCATTTAATAAGCAAATATTTCTTTAATATATCTGGTAAAATAGATTAATTTCTGCATCAGGTATAACTGAGATGCTTGTATCAACACATTACCCTGGGGGCAAAGTTCAGAAATCTAATTAAGAGGTTAAAGGTGGCATATGTAATAATTGAGGTAAAAATATCCAAAAAATGAGCTACACGCATCAAAAGAATGAGAAGAAATAAGTGCAATGATGTAATTAAAAAACTGACAAGTTATAGTGCTGCCGAGATATAAACCTAAATTAGCATGCTAAATGACTAGCCCCGGCCCGGTAGGTGTCGTAATACCAGTTCCGGCCATGGGAGGCGGTATGCGGCCGGGCAACATTACCACCAGCCAAACTGCAGTACACGAGTGAGTCGCGCTCGCGCCGGCTTGTGTGTACTTGAACCTGATGTCAGTCGTGTGGAAATACAGCCCAACTACATTTCAGTTCAGGGAAGAGTTCAAAAAATGATTGGTTGACATTATGCATGAGGAATACATTTTGGTAAGTTGTAGCATACTGTATCTTTCACCAGTGTTCGGGTTCTTTTTCCATTAGCTAGTAGAGATGATCGGTTCACGTGCGTTAGGGATCTGTGGCGTAACATGTACAAGCGCCAAAACGGTATTTATTGTTTGAATTGCATAATAAAATTGACAGAATCTGAGAACTTAACTAACCTGCTTGCTAAGTGTTAATTGCATGTGTCTCACGGTGAATTCGTGAGAGCTGGCAGCTCTGAATTTCGCTAGGTTGATCAACATCAGCGAATGCTGTCTGTCAAATTAATTCAAACTAACAATAAAAGTGTAATATGAACAAAACGAATACCGTAAACTTAAATTAATAGCCTGCAGGCTTTTATTTTCCCATTTCGTCAAAATGCAACAGCTTGTTTTTGAGACAGGCGTCTATGAGTCGGTCTTCATCATTTAGTGTTGAGATGTTGTTCATCTCTGATCTCTAAAAATCTCCAAATGCTCCACGTGAAACTGCGGTCTTCCGACCTTTTACTATCGTGTCAAATGATTTGAATAATATGCGGCGGAGAAAGAGAGCAAAACAGCGCTCGTTTGTGTTGTTTGAAGACGTGAGTGCGTGCGGCAGCGGCACAACACATTTTCTGGAGGTATACTGCCCCCATCTGTTATGGAATATGGAATATTTTTTGATTTTTAGTTCCAGAAGGCACCGTTAAACATTATAAGTTCTTTGCTGATTTAGCATCTCGCTCACATCCAATATGTTCTCTCAGGTCAACTAATGCACATGATGTGTCCGTGTTTGTGTTAAGTGACAGCAAGTGGATGTCATATAATCATATTCACACAATTAGCATGTTGTTGTGATTATATCATTATAATATGGCTTATGGTGGGTATCATTCAGCATGTTTGCCAAATTCTCAATTGTAGGTCATTTAAAGAGTTCAAGAGAGTCAGAAAGTCATTTCAAATGTGACTTCTTGAAAACCACCAAAACACTTATAATTCGGCATATCTGACAGTATAAGACACAATTCATTAAATTAATAAAAACAAACCTGAAAGCTAAATGAAAATAACCAACATGGGAAACAGAAAAACTTAAACTAGGAACTGGCCATTGCACCAAAAAAAAAAAGTCGTCAACAAAGTTATTCATTAGGGACCACAAGTTAAACACGAGTAATCTGCACTTATTTACAACCTTTTAAAATGACGGAACCGACAAATAAATCCATATTAATATTATGAGTTATAAGTGTGATAGTACTGCGTCTATCCTCATGATTAGCACTAAAGCTAACTGACAGAAACGCCATGACATACATCTGCTCTCTAGAGGAGAGAAAAAGGGGAGTACTTAAACAATTATATGCATTTAAATACACATGCATAATCAATAAATGATCAAAAATAAGTCATTTAGATTCTATTAAGGATACATGTCCTGTTTTGGAGGTGTTTAAATGCTAGTTCCGCTCATATGCCAAACTGAGTCAACAGAGAAAAAAACACTGTATAAATGCTACATCTAAATCACTTTAGATGCCAAATAAATCAATTTAAACTCTGGTAACGCCACATATAAAAGTATTTATGACTGACACGTAGAAGTAATAACGTTAAGCCTAACATGAGGAAATAGAAAAACTGACCTGAGAAAAAATAGAGTAAAAGTCGAAATGGAGAGGTGGAAACTCTTCGCCGACTTGTTCTTCTGTCTTTACTGCAATAAATTCATATTATCTTGTCAGAATTTTAAGTCGTGTGTCCTTCAGGACTCTACGCTTTATTTCTGTGTGTGTGATCAGATCAGGTGAACGCGCAGCGGGCACTGCCTCTCATATATTGCGAGCACGCGCATAAAGGCACGCTCGGGAGCGTGCACGCACCCACCTAGAATAGAAGCTTTTATATACACACACATTTTTACATTCTTTTGCGGTAACAATAACTTATTTCCTTATTATCAGTAACTTTTCAGTCCAATAGAATTATTTTAACGATTTTTGTAGGTCATTCTGATTTTGAAGGACAGATTGGAATATTTTGGCATTGTTTTAGTTTTTTTTTTATTATAATAGTGTTCCAAAATAGAGAAATAAAATTAAAACTAAAACAATAAAAACAAAAAAACTAAAACCTAAAATTGACAAGAACATACTTACATAGCCTAGTTGGGGCCAAATGTGAAGTCTGGCCAAGGAAAATCAACATCTTCACCCATTATTCAATTATTATTATTATTTAAATGTGTTAAAGATTTTGTAAGCATTTTTCATAGTTGTGCTTGGAGTCAATCGTTTTAACATGTCAAATTGTGCGGCCATAATCTTTGGTCATGTTGTCATAAAAAGACATTGTGAACACATGCAAAAACACAAGAGAACCAACAAAATATTAATAACTGATTATGTTTTAGTCGTATGTACTTATTTTTTTTTTTTTTGCCAGATACCTTAACCAAATTTTGTATTTTGTTCTTTATTCAATTTTAAGATTTTAAGATATTTAATAAATCATAACTTTTGGTTGATGGTTTAATTAAACGTATAGGGTCATTGAAAACAAATATATAAAATTGTATATACATACATACATATATATATATATATATATATAAACAAACACACATAAGATTTCACAACCCAAAGTAACATTCTTAAAATGTAAGCACATTATTTATATGTTGTAGGTTTCATCTGTGGGTTGCAACAGGGCTCAACTCTTTGAAGTCATCAGATCCTTCGGGCACTATATAAATAGACCTCTGCATAATTGAGGTCAGTTCTATTAGATTTCTATCAGGGCGTCTCTGACAATAACTCTGACAGACTGTTTCCATGATTAAAAATGTAACACTGCCTTGACTTCAGTTTACACTGTTATTTTATACATTAGGAGCTGACAATGAAAGTGTACTACACAGATCTCACAGAGGATTGTAATCACATGCCCAGCACTCAATGTTTACATCAGTTGTTGTTTATTTAATCATGGGATATTTATACAAAGAAGAACCATCTTTGGTAACAGTTGAAGATAACTTACATTTATAAAGTTATTCCAGTTCTAATTGCACATTAATTATGCATTATTCTTGATTGGCCACTATCACATTCCCCACTATGACCTCCGCTATTATCCTCATCAGTATCATGTTTATGTAAAATATTTACTCCCTTTGGCTTCAACCATGCCACTGAACCTTATGACAACCCAATCCAACCCAGATAGTAACAGACCCACCTAGAGGTACCAAAGAGAACTACAGCATTGAGAAAAATTTGCATGCAGATATATAACACTAATATATTTGTAGTAAATAAACTCTTGTCGACATACATTGCGTTTAAAAAATGGAGATAAAATAACTTGCACATGGTTGAATAGGTATTAATCATTATCAAAAGACAAATATAGGCATATGTCATTGTCAAAAGACATGAAACCATTACAGAATCAGTGGTATGATTTCAATGCAGTGTCTCCACATTTACAGAACTGAGGGAGACATCATTGGATATACTAAGACCTCTGATCTGGTTGAGCTCACGGATCCGATGTTTGAACTCCAGAAGGTGTGACTTGTTCACAGCCACTTTGAATTCAGTGTCAGTGCATAAGATCTTCATCTGAAAGTCAAAACAATTTTAATCAGTTGCAATTGGACACGCATGAAATAGTTTTGACCAAATGTGGCAGGAGACAAACGCATGATCTTGTTTTGTCTGCTTTGTTGCATTACTTTTTAGTGATGCTATTTCAGGGCCTCCTTTTCTGTTCTTATCTGATAACTGTTCTCTAATGTCTTTATCTCTAATGGCTCAATCTTAACTTTATCAAGCGACAAAAATACGTTTTGACTCTAGTCAGTTAACGTAGTGTGATAGCATAGCGCTACGTCACATGTGGGCTCACTATTGGTATTCTCGTCGCTTGATAAAGTTAAGATTGAGCCACTGTAGTCACTTGGACTATTTTAACGATGTCTTTAATAACTTTTCGAGGCCAGCAAGTTTCAATCCCTCAAGAAGCCTATGGACTAGTAGGGAGGAGTAATCCAGCTCTCAGATTTCATCAAAAATATATTAATTTGTGTTCTGAAAACGAACGAAGGTCTTAAGGGGTTGGAACAACATGAGGGTGAGTAAATACTGACAGAATTTTTATTTTTGGGTGAACTATCCCTTTAAATATAATGGGGGCTGAACAGTAAATATTTAAGATATTTGTTTGATCAAAATAAAACCATTGAGATGAATAAGAAACGAAATTGTTTGATGCCACGCTCACCTCAAAAGGCTTTCCTGGGACAAAAGGGAAGGAGGGAAGCTCTCGCTCTTCTCTACCCCATTGGTTTCCAATCATGCTGTTTCGCACAATCACTTGCTTTCCATTTTCATTGAAGCGGGGGTTGAAGTGAAATGCAATGTCATTGCCTCTATTAAAATTCAATGTAATACTGATTGGAGGAGAGAAAAAAAATAAGATTACACACATGAAATACACAGGGATGTCTCAAAGGAGATTGTCAAAATTGTTGGTTAAAGTGGCCATGTTTAATTTCATAATTTAATTTAGTTCTAGGTAACACTAATCTTTAACCAAAATGTGGTGATAAAATAAAATCTATTATGTACTTTATGATGTATATTACACTCAAAAAGTATTTGGGCCTAAATTTAAGATTTATGTTTTTAAATTGCATACAAAAATTAACATCCATTTTGGATTACCCTCTCTGTTACTTTAATTCACTGTAAAGCAGCTGGAACAATTTACATTGTTAAAAGCGCTTTATAAATGAAGATGACTTGATGACAAACTCATAAACTTGTTGTAATAGATATTTGTCAGACATGCATAAATTAAATCGGTAAGAAAGAGGTTTCTGTAATAGTACTAATAAACTGGCTGTGCGTTTTAAATACACAAGAATCAGGTTTAAATATTTCATATCAATAAATCAAAATTTGTTTCAATCTCATACATTTTAACTAGCTGAATATTGTTCCACAGCTAACCATCTATTAAACATGCTCATACTTTTTAACTGAATAAATGTAACTTTTCATGATAAACAGGTTTATGTTGAGTCAAAGAAATTGAAATAATGCATTATGAAAATATGATTTAAATCAAATTAAATAGTTAATAATAAACTCTGCCAAGCTTTTTATTAGTTTTACTGACATATATTATCAAATTAATGAACCATAATTACACAATTGTACCCCCAGAGATGTTCTACCTGGAACTGTTATGCATTTATATCCCAATCAATGGTGAAATTAATCTGCAGCAGTCAGGGTTTACGAGTCAGAGCTCTCTATGTTGTTAACGTTCATTATTATTTTAGTGTTATGTACTTTAATTCATGAGGTAATTTTAAGCCGTCTCTCGTGATGCATTGGAGACTCTGCTCTGTGTCCGATCATGCGTTTAGTAGGATTTGAAGACGCTCTGAAGGGAGGGTGGGATCTTATGCTTTCAAAGCTATTGCAAGCCTCTCCGAAATTGCCTGACCCTAATTTAAATGAAATAGTTTATGTTAAAACTGTGTAATCCAATTGGATGGGAAATGTATATGCAATTCCAAACACGGATGTTAAATTTAGGTCTAAATGCTTAGAGTGTATGTACTGTATATGTAATAATTTGTCATGTTTTTATGTGTGTGTGCATTGTTTTTACATTTTAGCGTCGGGTTTGACCTCTCCATTGATGGTGATGAGCATCTTGTTAAAGGCTCCATTAAGTAGCGGGAGATCAAATGGCACAGTCTTGAAAAAAAAGAAAAGAAAAGTAAATGTTCAGTAAACTAGCAGAAACCAAGAACCATTAGGGTTAAATAGGGCTAAAGGCACACTGGTGTAAACAGAGCATTTTATTTTATTTTCCTCTTAACAACTAGATAGGGTGACCATATTTGACACTCGGCCCGGCAAACAGATACTCAAATGATACTCGAAGTTTACAAAAAGATGCTTTATTAACTTCAATACATTTAAAGTAGGCTATGCCTCCTCTGTAAGGATTAAAATATATATATATATATATATATATTACAAGGCTTCTCAGAGGTTACTCAACATGTTTTATTATTTAAAAAATAATGAATGAAATAATGCTCTTCTGTATTCGAGAAATAAATATCTAAATAATAAATAACTACGGTAAAAGAAGTACCTCCAAATTGAACAAAAATAGCGCTCACAAACGTACAAAAACGAACTAACAAAATATATTTTTATCTTTAGTTTTCTTCCTCTTTATCCTGTTTTTCCTTGCTCATCCTCCTTGTTTGCCCATCTATATTTTGCAGTAGAGCTGATCTTTCCCAGCAGTTTTTGGAAAACCAGGACATTTTCATCACTTTATAAAAAAAAACAGCCAGGACAGGACGTAAAAACAGGACATGTCCTGGGAAAACAGGACTGTTGGTCACCCTACCACTAGATGACATTAAATATAATGGAAAAAAAGAGTAATATTATGATTGTTAGGAGTAGGGAGTAATTTCCTGACTTCTCTCTGTCTGGTATTGTCATTAAAGTATGTAATGAGGCTAAATGCTTAGGACATTATATAACTGATGACCTGTCTGAAGATAGGGACATTTATAGACAGTGTCGTATGATGTATGCACAAGCTAATATGTTGATTCGAAAATTTAGTATGTGCTCAGACTCTGTGAAGACTACACTTTTTTGAGCATATTGTGCCCCTATGTACACTGCCCATTTGTGGGGGCGCTACAGAAAGAGCAGCATGAAGAAACTCAATGTAGCATAATGATGGAGCATTGCAAGCCAAATGTTTGTTAGTGTTGGTGTGCCCACCTGTTCTGCACAATATCATACACAAGTGCATGTGTAGGTTGACAAACTCTGCAAACAGTATGATTTCAACACTGACAAACCCAACACTAAGTTGAGCCATTTTAACCTATATGTAATATTGTGGACTCTGTTTTATTGTTTGTGTTTTTGGACCATTTGTGTCTTTAATAAAACTTTGATAATATAGCTAAATTATTTGTATTTATAATGGGTGCCTTTTACACCTGCATGGTGTGTAAAATCAATGTTCACTAAAAACATATTTTTATATATATTCTGCAATCATGCACTATGGGAGTTGTGAAAAACATTTTCCTTAAGGTGTGCCTTTAGCCCCATCGTACCCTACTGTATTTTACACAGACCGTTCACTTTAACAAGATTAAAATATTTAGACGTTTACAAGCCCAAGGTATTAAAAATGTATTCTGTATAGAACAAACTCCATGATGGTTGTACAAATACAAGAAAAGTGAAAACATCTCACTAATGGAGTTTGATTAGGAGCACCATAAGGGCCAGTTTGTGGTGCAGGTGCAGGCCAGCCAGGAGCTGTAGGCTGCCCGGGCTGTCCAGGCCATGTTGGTTGGCTTGGCTGCCCAGGCCAGGCAGGGTTGGCTGGTTGGCCAGGCCAGGCGGGGTTAGCAGGCTGTCCAGGCCAAGCAGGGTTAGCAGGCTGGCCAGGCCAGCCAGGATTGGCTGGCTGGCCAGGCAGGGCGGGGTTAGCAGGCTGGCCGGGCCAGATGGGGTTGGCTGGTTGGCCAGGCCATACTGGGCCTCCTGCCTGCTGGTTGCTTTGCTGTGGAAAGTCGAGGGCATCTGAAAGCTGAAACAGAACATAACAGAACTTAAAGCATGATACTTTTTGCACTAAACTAGATAGAATTATTGAGGGGATAAAATGTACTTACATCCATGATCTCTGAATCTAAACAGAGAGAATACATTGTTAATTTGGCATAAAATAATAATTGGCCGTGCTATATTGTTGACAGACACATAAAATAGTGTTTTTTTTAAACATTATTTTATTAAGCAAACCCACAATCTTGAATGCACAAGTTCAATCCTTCCATTAGAAGATATATATGCTGCGTCCAAAATCGAATACTTCCCTACGATATAGAATGTGAATTATATGCCAAAAAAGTAGCATGTCCAAATTCATTGGATTCGGAAAACAGTAGGCGAAAAGTACACAGATGACCTACTACTTTTGCCAAGATTCATTTGATGGACACTTCACTATCCCATGAGGCCACGGGAGAGGATTTTAGAATGCAACTGACGCTTGTAGATCCCATGGTGGATATAGTACATCCAGATTTCGCTCATACTACCCACATTGGGGCTGTCATGGTTAGAGAGTCTTGGAACAAAAAAGGTTACAGGTTCGATTCTCAATAATACCAGCAGGAAATGACTGAGGTGCCCTTGAGCAAGGCCCCTAACCCTCAATCGCTCCCGGGCACCACAGCAAAAATGGCTGCCCAATGCTCTGGGTGTGTGTGTCCATGGTTTGCTGTGTGTGTACCTGCTCAGACAGCATGTGATTTTAGAGGCAGCAATAGCCTCTGACATAAAGCTAATATGAAATACAAATACTGAAAAAAGTAATCTGTCTTTAATATGATAAAGGTAATACAACTTCTCTTTGAAAACACCAATAATTTGTCAATGTTCGTTTTAACTACATAAATTGTGTTACTGGTTCCATGCTTACACGAGTTGATGACTCACTCTTCCATGAACCCAACCACCACACCCATTGCACTGTGTGAAGTTAAAGGATTAGTTCACTTTTGAAAAAAACTTTTGCTGATAATTACTCATCCCCATGTCATCCAAGATGTCCATGTCTTTCTTTCCTCAGTCAAAAAGAAATTAAGGTTTTTGATGAAAACATTCCAGGATTTTCCTCCATATAATGGACTTACATGGGAACCAGACGGTCCAAGGTCCAAAAGACAGTTAATAACAGTTTCAGATGCAGCTTCAAATGTCTTAAAACGACACCAGATGATGAATAAGGTTTTTTTTTTTTTTTTACAAAAAAAGGAATTAAAAGGTAAAACAACGATGTCGGACGATTTTGATTCTGTACTTCCGGCTACATCCCCCGTGACCTTTTGAACGTAATAACGTATTACGTGACGTTACAAACGCCCCTCACAGAATAGAGCAAGGCTAGCATTTGTCCTTAGAAAAGTTACATTTTTGGAATAAGTTTTGAAATAACCAATCGTTTCGCATGATAAGACCCTTATTCATCGTCTGGTGTCGTTTAAAGACATTTGAAGCTGCATCTGAAACTGTTATTAACTGTCTTTTGGACCTTGGACCGTTTGGTTCCCATGTAAGGCCATTATATGGAGAAAAATCCTGGAATGTTTTCATCAAAAACCTTAATTTCTTTTCGACTGAAAGACAGACATCTTGGATGACATGGGGGTGAGTAAATTATCAGCAAAAGTTTTTTTTCAAAAGTGAACTAATCCTTTAACTGTGTGAATGGTGAGCCAGAGTGGATGCATGATAATACAATAAGTAACACTACGTTCTGCGTAATGAATGCATGTTGAATAAAGTTCCCATGAATTGGCTTTGGGTGCATTATGACTTTTACCTCAGAGTGATTTTTTATAAGTCAGAATGCACATAAAAATACATCTAAATAACTAGAGATACTGATTAATCACTAAATAACAATTTATTATTGTGCAATCTGCACTCAGTAGAACTTGAACACTGCAAGTTCGAACTCGTCAACAGGCCTGGGGATTTCACTGTCTGTGAATCACATGAAGGCATGTGTTTAAAGCTAGCAAAAGTCTAATTAAACTCTAACGTTACATTTCTTTCAAAGTTGTCCAGTTATTTGTTTAATATCTGTAAAACTCAAAAGATGCCTTTCATGTCAACATGATAGCCATGCCTACTGTTTGCATTAGGCAAAACTCATCAGCCACATGGAATTAAGTTACATAATTTGAATAGCACTGCAAACACACACCGAAGTTAAAACTATTAAGCTTGAAGATGCTGACAACGTTTTGAAAAAGAGAAAAGAGGCTTAAGGAAGGCACATACCTGTTTGGTGTTGTTAATAGCAGATAGCACAGACAGAGCTGTTCTGTAGAGACAGGCCGCAATTCCGGGTGGAGAAACACACACACACACACACACACACGCCCCTGAAACCCTCCCCATGCTAGTACTTTTGAGAAGAGGCCGCACCCACCCCCACACACACACACACACACAATAAAAACGCATGCTTTCCATAGGGAAATATGATCATTCAGAGGTGAAACTATGATAAGTATTTTAACAAGTGACGAAACGTTCTTTTCTTATTGAGTCAATTGTCTCTTCAGTATGGTCTGAAGGTTATAAAGTTTATCTGAAGTGCATAACCTGTAAGAATGGGTGTGATTTATTTATTTATTTTTACAAAATAAAAACATAAGCCAATCGTTGTCTTGGCAACTAAGGATTGAAAGAGCTGTTCATAGCTTAAAAACATATAGTGTTGCATAGTAACGGGCATTATATGGCTGTTTGTACAGTGGACACACCTATTCATTCATACTGTTACTGTTTTACACATGTTAGAATTGTCGTGAAATGATCTAAAGCTATGAAATAACAAACGGCAGCATTGGAACAGTATTGCGAGCAAAACATTACACGAATAACAACTAGACAATAAGCGTGTTTAAATTCACCACCTTTCTGTTATTATCAAATAATGCTTGTACATAAATTAAAAATGATACATATTATGCATAGAACAATGAGAGAAAATATCTGTGGAATTTTTGTATTAATGAATTGACATTTAAAAACAAGACATTTGTATTAATGTATTTCATTTAAATCTATATTTCCCTAGCTAAAAGGACAGTTCAATTAACATTTAAAATGACAATACAGTGGATATTGAAAATATTTGTAGAGGGTGGAAATGATTTTTCCATGATAAAAAGACTATATCCACTAGAGGGAAAAATCGTCACAGGATATACTAAGGATATTTTATCATCCAACTATAAGACTTGCACTTTCTATTCAGCAGTATTTAAAAGAGTCATGCTCTTCACAACCACTAGATGGTGTGTTTACTCTTTGTAAAAAGAGCTGGTTGGTAGAATGGGTCAACATCCGGGTATCTCTCCACTGGAACGTGTTAACGCAAACGTGTAAGTTTCACGTTTGAGGGGGTTAAACCGTGACATCTACACGTTTTCCAAAGTGGACCAACGTAATTATTTCACGTCTTGTCGTGATACCGGGTGGCATGAGATATAATAATATGGAAAGGCTTTTTTAATTTGGCAAGAATACAAATCAAATAAAGGCTAATGTTCATGAACAAAACTTAAACGGCTCTTGTTTTTATTGATAATGCTCCAAGCAAATCACATTCTCCCCAAATTTTCTGTATATTTAATAAACATAGAAATCTGATCAATTCTATATTATGGGAGTAGATTTTGACATCATGGTTTATTGACACCTACTACAAATGCTTGCTCGGCTGACAGGTAAGTGTTTATAAGCAGCTTATCTGTTGCATTAATACCAGGGGTCGATCTGTTATTATCAAATAATGCTTACATAAATTAAAAATGATATTATGCATAGAACAATGAGAGAAAATATCTGTGAAATTTCATCTTCCCCTAGCTAAAAGGACAGTTCAATTAACATTTAAAATGACAATACAGTGGATATTGAAAATATTTTTAGAGGGTGGAAATGATTTTTCCATGATAAAATGACTATATCCACTAGAGGGAAAACTCTTCATAGGATATACTAAGGATATAATTATCATCCAACTATAATAGACTTGCACTTTCTATCCAGCAGAATTTAAAAGAGTCATGCTCTTCACAACCACTAGATGGTGTGTTTACTCTTTGTAAAAAGAGCCGGTTGGTAGGTCAACATCTGGGTATCTCTCCACTGGAACGTAACGCCATAGATAGACTGTAAACGCAAACGTGTAAGTTTCACGTTTGAGGGGGTTAAACCGTGACATCTACACGTTTTCCAAAGTGGACCAACGTAATTATTTCACGTCTTGTCGTGATGCCAACCCGGTATCACGACAAGACGTGAAATAATCATGTTGGTCCACTTTGGAAAATGTGTAGATGTCACGGTTTAACCCCCTCAAACGTGAAACTTACACGTTTGCGTTAACACGCTCCAGTGGAGAGATACCCGGATGTTGGCCTATTCTACCAAACGGCTCTTTTTATACAAAGAGTAAACACACCATAATTCATTAATACAAAAATTTCACAGATATTTTCTCTCATTGTTCTATGCATAATATGTATCATTTTTAATTTATGTTGCATTATTTGATAATAACAGATTGACCCCTCAAGCTGCTTATAAACACTTAGCCTACCTGTCAGCAGAGCAAGCATGTGGTGTCAATAAACCATGCTGTCAAAATCTACTCCCATAATATAGAATTGATCGGATTTCTATGTTTATTAAATATACAGAAAATTTGGGAAGAATGTGATTTGCTTGGAGCATTATCAATAAAAACAAGAGCCGTTAAAAGTTTTGTTCTTTAGCCTTTGTTTGATTTGTGTTCTTGCCAACTTAAAAAAGCCTTTCCATATTATAATATCTCATGCCAGTGGCATGAGATATAATGATATGGAAAGGCTTTTTTTTAATTTGGCAAGAATACAAATCAAACAATGTTCATGAACAAAACTTAAACGGCTCTTGTTTTTATTAATGGGCTAATGCTCCAAGCAAATCACATTCTCCCCAAATTTTCTGTATATTTAATAAACATAGAAATCTGATCAATTCTATATTATGGGAGTAGATTTTGACATCATGGTTTATTGACACCTAATGCTTGCTCGGCTGACAGGTAAGTGTTTATAAGCAGCTTGAAATCTGTTGTATTAACACTAGGGGTCGATCAAGGACTTTCAAGCAGTGGTAGAACATGATTCTAGGTTTCAGAGGTCATAAGGTGATTTGTTGATAGGGGTGATGGGTCAAATGTGTTGACAAATATTGACCATTGATTCAGCTTGATAAGATAATAAGTCTAAGGACCTAATAAACAAAAGGACAATCCAAGTATAGTTCACAACGTGGATGTTTATCTTTATTCAATTTTTCTTGAGTGTAGAATATTAAGCAGACATCTGTGGGATAGTTAATGATGGATTTCTCCGATAATTGACCAATGTCTTTCATTAATGTCGTTTGATGATTATATGTTGAAATCCAATATTTTGATTACAGATAATTACATTGAAATCTTAGCTTATCATCATCAGCACCTGCCTTTATCAGAACATTCAGGAATTTCACACTGTTTATGAAGTCTGTGTAACTGGATCCGGGAGGATCTGGTAGAGCCGTTATGAAGAATTGTCTGTGAAAGTGTTTAGTCAAAGGTATAATTTTGGATCCTATCACTTCTTTTGTGAAAACAGAAAATGTTCAGAGATTGTGAATATTTTTCACATGCAAAAGATGGAGCCGTCTGTGTTCAAATGTATGTAATGTTTAGGGATGTGATTGTTATGTAGAGCATTCCTCAAAAATACCCCCTACTGAACAGCAGCGTTATTGGAATTTCCTATTAGCGTTTTCCTGAGCACTATAGCGTAAAGAGGCCATGTTTGTTTAGGCTTGTTTGATTATCTGAACTATTTCACCATGTCCAAACATAAAAAAAGCATAACAAGCAGCGTCTAATTGTTTTGTACGAGGGTTCTTATCTGTCCCAGTAGAATCAAAACAAAAACAATCACCGCATTTTCTTATTCTGGATCTCATATCTAAATGTCAACTCCACCCCCGGCACAAAAAAAACCTCCTTGGATACACGTACACTGTAAAAAAAAAAAAAAAAAAAAGACTCAAAAAGGGGTTTTTCACAGCTAAAGAACCATTTTTGGTTCCCCAACGAACCCTTCAGTGAACAGTTCTTAGTGTAAAGAAAATTTAAATATTCTAAAGAAATAATTGTTTTCTCTATAAAGAACTTTTGTGCAATGGAAAGATTCCTAAAGGTTCTCCATGAAACCATTAATGCCTAAAGAACCTTTATGCTTATAGCTGGCCTCTAAATGTAACATTCACTCTTTATCTTCTTGATTCACTGAATTGCTGTTTGTTTTGCTGGAAGGTCATTTATGGGATATGAGTTTCCCTGGAATCAATCATTAAGTGTGCTCTTACAGTTAGCTTGAACACAAAGAGCTCCACTACCCCAGAGGCCTAAAACTGAATGCAACCTTGATTCCACATAAATTCTGATTTATAACTCATGTGGCTTGTTGAGTACTGTACATGTGTGCTATTAGTTTTTTTGTTTTTTTTTTTAATTACAATTTTCGCCTAGAGGATGATAAAACAGGTTTATCTAGGGACCAGGTTGTGCTCTTTCAACCCAAAGCACTATAGCAAACACATAGCAACACCCTGGTGACCAACTATAAGACTCTTGTGGCAGTAAGTTTTACACCAGAGTTTAATGGTTTGGTATCTCTAAGGTTTTTATTTATTTAAAGAAATTAATACATTGATTAAAAGTGACTGAAAAGACATTAATAATGTTACAAAAGAGGGTTGTTTCAAACAAATGCTGTTCTTTGAACATTCTCTTCTACACAAAAGCAGCACAAACTGTTTCCAGCTTGATACTAATAAATATTTAGTAATAATGTACTATACAGTATTTACTGTAATGTAAATATTTACTATATATAATAATAATAATAATAATAATGAAAATTCAGCTTTGCCACAACATGAATAAATTACACTTTAAAATATATTAAATTAGACAACAGTTATTTTAAATTGTAATAATAAGCCTACTTCACAATATTACTAAGGGTGCACTGATATGAACATTTTGGCCGATAACCGATAATTCTTTATATTTGAAAGCTGATAACTGATATATTTGCAGATCAATCAAAATCAAATTTTTTTTATAATAAATAACCATTAAACGCCATGTTCTCATTATAATTTTATAAAGCCAGTGCAGACTTGAACTGCATATGTTGCACTTCACTGCATTTCCCTTTTTTTAAGTGATTCCAATCATATTTTAAGCAATTCAAAACCATCATGGCGAACATTGCAAATCTGAAGTTTCTCAGCTTAAGGGAATAA